GACCTAGAGACACAGTAAGGCGTATGGTTCAAACTGTCAAACCTCATAGGAGAGGGGATTGTGATAAACCAAAGAACTTATGTGCATGTATGCATAACCGATGGGTATAGACAACAATGCTTAGTGAGGGGCAGGATAGGGAGGAGGGTGTCTGCGGGGAAAGAGGAGAAACATCTGTAACAAAAATAAATTAAAAAATAAAATAAACACAGCATTTCAGGCAGCAGATTCCCAAAGCTTTCTCAGTGATGGGAAAGGTAAGCTGATTTAGAAGATTTCACAACCAAGAGAAGAAGTCCTAGAGTGAGGTGTTGAACAGTTTGTGGTGCAGCAACCATCCCTTCCCTCACCCGTATACATAGGGAAGGAGGAAGATTATGTCGTTGGAGAAATCACGGTGCCAGATTTCCCCAACACTTGTGGGAGTCGGGTGTCTCTTGCAGTATCTTCAGAAAAAGAATTTTCTAAGTGTCGCATAGGAGAATGAATAATTTTAATTGGCTTGGAATTATATTCTTTGGGTTGTAAAGTCCCATGTCCTTTAACCCAGTCTTGAAGGAAATGCAGCTGTGGATTCAGCAGAGCTAGAAATAAAACCAATGTCCAGAGTTTCCTCTCCATGTTGCAGCCAGGTCTAGATTAGGTATCAGGCTAGGTTCAGTCCATCATGGAGTCAATATGGCTGTGGACTACATGGTGAATACAGGCGAACATTCCCCCTACAACAGGAGTCTCAAGAGGGTAGGAGGGTTGAGTGCCAAGAGCAGCACGAGAGAGAAACTTGCTTTGTTCAGGAGATTAAATATTCAGGTTTTGTACCTTTGCAGTGGCCACACCTATTCTGTCCAATTACCTGTTCCCAGGTGTGACAGACAGGTGAGCACCCCCCAACATCATTCATACCTTACTAGGCATGCATCTAAACTGCCTTTTTCCTGTCCCTTCCCCCATCAATTTGCAGGGAATAGACTTGGAAAGTGTTAAATTAGTTTTCAGGCAAAGCTGTATAAATGGCATGCTTATATTATTTAGTCCTCCCTTACTCCTTTCCTGTTAAATAATAACCAAATTATTGTAAAGGTATCAAGTTGACATTAGCACCTCACTCCCCTCTCTACGAGACTGAGGGTACCGTATATTCCATTTTCGCTAAGTTAGGAAATAGTGATTATATCTTTTGACATTTGCTAAGTTACTGGACCTGCCAGCACCTGACTTTCCTGAGACATGAAGAAGCATGAAAAGAGAGAGAGGCAGTACCTGGTGGATATCCTATATTCCCATCATTTAGTTCACTTAGTATAGAAATACATGCATTTCCTGTAAGTGCAACTAAAACCATGGGAAGTGGCAGAATTGAAGCAGACTTGCTAATACATTCCTCCAAACACACACACCCACGAGTGACCTAAGCCCAGTTACCGTCCACAAGCAAACTCATGTGTCCTTGACATCCCAGATGGTAGGGATCCAGAAGTAAAAGGCTGTAAACTAAACTGCCTTGGGAGTTAAGTAGGTGGGGAGAGAAAGTGGTAAGACTTTCTTCCAAGAAAGGAGACAATGATAGGGAGCCCCTAGAGAGCCCTCATGAAACAATAACTATGACCAAATGTGTCCGAGAAGAGCCAGCATTTACACACCTGTCTCACGGATGGAACCAACAGAAACATCAATACAACAAACAGAAAGCAAAATATAAGACCTTGGTTGGTTGTTTTCCCCTTCTGGTTGTTGCTAGACCATGCTTTCAGCTGCCCAATCACAACAGGACTGGGTCATGTGAATGGGCATAGTTTTCACTCTTCTCCCAACTTTTGTTCATCATTAATTATGAAAAAGCAGGTGTTGCTGTCAACATCTCATATGTAAGAAGTATGATTGGAAAACGAAAAATAAACCTGAAAGAGAAAATGTGGATCTAGAAGAAAATAGATTAATAGGGTCATAAAAATCCAATCCTCTATAAAAACAATAAGAGCTAAATTCATTTGATGAAAATATATTTAAAAAGTAAAGGGACCTAGATACCCAAATGCCACAGGAAAGAAGTCTAAGGGGAAAAGGGTGATCATGGATTCTGTTTTGAAGATAGGAGAGAGACAAAGAAGTAGTAAATCCTCTATTTGAGGGAGGTAAAGAACCTGGGCTTTGGTCAGAAATTCAGCCTAAAAGGGATTTTTCCACTTTGTCAAATGGTTCTGTTATAAACATCTCCCATGAAGATCTAGCCTCTCTACAATTATCTAGTTCACCTTGCCTTTGGGCCATCAAACTGGTTTATAAGACACCAGAGACAAACAGAAAAACAGGTTGTTGGCCAAGATAAAAGTTTCTTGCCAATGGGATTCTTTCTAACCTTTAAGTAGGTATTAACACTGCCACTACGTAAGTGGAAAACAAGAATACGCAGCAAATGGTGACTGCACGTGACAGGAGTCCCATTGATCTATTTTTCTTCTTGCCTACCTTGTCCATAAAATCAGAGTTTCCTAGTATATCATCAAGGGAAAGGTTAGACCATATCATCTAGTCCATAGAAAGAACTGCACCAGCCTTACCTTCACCTGGCTTAACTGGAAAGATAATTGTACACTGGCTGAGCTGCTAAAGGTCTTCAGAACTAATTACGGTGATAACTAGGATGAGATCTGACAACACTTGGAGGCAAACTGGAAATGCAAATGGCTCAAGAGCTTGCCACAAAACTAGTTTAAATGTACTCTAACTTCTCTGTAAATAAAAATGAAACATCCCCTTAAAACAAAACAAAAAGCTATTGAGGCATTACACCCAGGTAATAAAAACTAGTATGTCACTGTAACAGAGTGAAATGCTCGTGCTCTCTCTGACTCTTTCTTAATTCTAGCCTGCATTTCTCCCATGACCTTCAGGCAAATAGTTCCTGCAAATAATTACAGATATGGTAATTACTAAGAGGATTCTGCTTGAGGCTTGAGCTTTTGGCAAAGAATTGCAGGAGTCTCAAGACCAGACTCAGATCAGCAGGGATCAAAGAAACCAGGAAACAAAAAGATTTAGAGATTTCATGTTCTTCCTTGGACCCTTGCTGGGGCCTAGGTATCACACACCCCTTGCCCGGTCCATTCTCCCTTCCTGTCACATAAAAGAAGCCCAAATTCTGGTCTCTGGTAAGATGGATTTGCGGAAGCTTTAAGGCCCCATTTTCTCAAGCTGGCACCTTCTTCATCATTAAACCTTTCCTTACTCCAAACTGACATTTTGCATATTGGCCTTTTGAAGCATCAGGCACACAAACCTCAAATTGGTAACATAACATCTTTTCCTGCCCCAAAGGTGATGAAACAAAATCATATCAAAAAGAATCTTTGGAAATTTTGTGACCTCACTATAAATTAATGTTGGGAAATCCACTTTATGTTTTAACCAGGAGTCAGGCAGCAGCAGTAAACTTCTCATTCTGTATTATTGATTTTCACAGGGGTCAACTATTTAGACCAGATGATACCTCTGACTTTTGTCAGTATTGCAAGTCCTTCAGAAAAACGTCTGTAGACATTGTGGATGTTAGTGATTCCTGACAACAGCGTTGTAAAAGAAGCTTTGTATTGTCAGGATGATTTTAGCAGCAAGTATGTGTTTATGCCAAATCCTCACACCAACTCACCAACTCAAACTGGCTTTTTTTTTTTATCCTCACCCGAGGACTTTTTTTTTTTTTTTCATTTATCTTTAGATAGAGTGGGGGCGGGGGGCAGAGAGAGAAACATCCATGTGAAAGACACATCAACTGGCTGCCACCTGCACAACCCCAACCGGAGCCGGGGAAAAACTGCAACCAAGGTACGCACCCTTAGTGGAAACTGAACCCCGGTCTCTCTGGACCGCAGGCCCATGCTCTAACCGCTGAGCCAAACCGGCCAGGGCCAAACTGGCTTTAAAATAAACAAATCTACTATTTCACATAATGAGAAGTTGGAAGGTAAGATCTTTCAAGGGTTGGCTACTTTAGGAGCTCAACAATGTTATAAGGCATTTCTCCTCTTTCTATTCTCTGCTGGTATCCTAAACACATTGTTTTTTATCCTCAGGATTATCTCCCTCATAATTACCCTCAAGCTTTTGACTTCCTCATCTAACATTAGCCATTCTTTATTACTAGGAATGGTTTAAGTGAACAACTCTGGTAGCTCTCATGTCCCCCACCTGTTGCTGGGGGAAGTGGGCTTTTTGTGATATCATAAGAAAAGTGATTTTCTGAGTCTCACAAGGGACAATGAGTGCCATTTATTTACATGGAGTTAAATCTCTGAGTTTCCAAGGTCCCCTTTCCCTTCGTCCTGCCAAGGAAGAAGTCCAGCTGTGCCTTTAACAGGGCTAGGATTAAAGTTGTTGCCCAGAGTTCCCGTTCCATATTTGCAGTCTAATCCAGCATCAGGTTAATTTAGTTTGTATTCCCAACTGTAGTCCTTTACATGTGGGGTCCAAATGGCAGTGGGTCATACAGAGGAACCAGAGCCCATAGTCAAGAGCTAAGAAAGTTCCTTTGTCTGGGAGATTCTGTATTCCCAAATTTTTGTGGGCTTGTAATGGCTGCACCCTCTCTAGCCAATCCATGGTTCCCAGGCTAGACTGACAGGTCAGTACCTTCCTTATATCACCCCAACTTCATTGTGCATGAGTCCACCTCCCCCTTTGTTGGATCCCTTCCCCCAGTGATTTGCAGGGAATGGATGGGTGATTCCCTGGGGAGTGTAAACTTACAGGTTCCTGGTGAAACTGCCCAGATGGCCATGCTTATAATGTCTGGACCCTCTTTTGCTCCTTTCCTATTATTAATAACTAGCTAATTATAACAGTGTCAATAGCACTGTCCCAAATTTCCAAACAGTAAGCAGATGAGAGAAAAGAATAGCCATAGACATGAATTATAAACAGTTCCTTTATTATAAATAATTAAAGTTGATAAAACTGGAAGAATAAATATTCTCTTTAAACAAAAATTAGATATGGATGGCCAAAATAACTAAAAATAACACCATGCCCCATACATAGTTAAATTCTCTCTTCAAATATCAGTACTACATGTATATATCCTCCAACCTGGTAAATTTTTATAAAGTGTTTCATTTTTTCTAAAAGCATATTACATTAATCACAATTTGTTTAAATTATTCTGATATTACCTTTATAACAATCATCTCTTAAATATTTAAATGCAATGAGAATACAACTTTGATCATTCCCGGGAGAAATTAACATTTCAACTCAATGAAAAATATCCATATATTTACATATTTTACTCTTTTCAAAGTAGATCACCTCCAGAGAACTTAGAATATTTCACTCTCTTCTACGAAAGTGTATGCGACGCATAAGTTCTCTAAACTTCAGTATTAAGGAGTTGTCTTTCCATGCTTCATAAGTACTTCTTAATTTGTCATAGTAACTTTCTTTTTTCAGGTTGAAATCTGATCCAATTTTTTTTAAATAACTGTCTTTTTTCCATATTTTTCTCCAGGAGCCTTTGAATTTTTCTAAATAACTTTCCTTTTCAGATACTTCCTTCCATATTCCTTCTCCTTTTTTTAAGGCTGTTAATTCAGCTTTAAGTAAATTTCTGTGAATTTTCCAATAGATTTTAGAATCATGATTTAGCCCTTTAACAAGAACAGTTTTGCCAAGACCTCTTCTCAAGATTTCTTCATTCAGACTCATACTGAAATATCTACCCTTGAATAAAAAATAACACAAACCAATCATTTAAACAAATTGCTAGTATACCCATAACATCTATTTACATTAAAATCAGTCATTCAGCAACTTTAGTCCTCCAGAGGAAAATAAAAAAGCAAAAGTGTCCCCAAGAGCTTAAAATAGCTAATGTTAAATCCAAGAATTTCATTACTAGAAGAGATCCTTGCTCAAAGTCAATTGCCTGCTTTGTAACATATTGTTCTCCACAGCCTCATTGGTGTAACCAAAAGAGGTATAGAAGCAGTAAAGTGCATAAAAAGCGTTTTTGTTTGTTTATTGTTTAGTGGGGGAATGGATCACATAAGATAGGCAAAATGACAGGAGGCCATAGCAAAAGAAACTAAAAAGTAGGCAAATGCAAAATAAACTGACACATAATGGAACTGCTAAATTAGGTTCAGAATTCCAGTGTTTTGGAAGGCACTGGCATGCAAATGAATTTTTAAAAGACTTTCCACATATAATTAACATAAAAATAGGCCTGGCCTGGAATGTTCATCCTTCAGAAAATGTCATTCATGGAATCCCTCACTTCCTAGTGAAACTGGATAAATGGGATTTCCTCTCCCACCCCCCACTAATTTACAAAATAAAGGAGATCCTGCTTAGCTATTTCCATAGTCCTTGTGGGATTTTAACAAATTATTAATAATTTCATAGCTTTATTAGACAAGAAATGTACAGTTAAATTTAAAAATGTGAAAACTCCAGGTTTAAAGTAGGAGATATTTTCTAGGACATCTAAAGAAAAAGTAACCCTTTGCTCCTTTAAATACAGTAACTTTTGGTATATGATGCTAAGGAGTTAAATACAGTTTTAAATGTTTATCATATTTTTCTTAATCATTTATATCTTAAGAGCTCATTCCCTTAACTCAAAATCGGAGTAATTACAATTCAACCTCACAACAGATAAATTGCCACAATATACACACAGCAGAGTTTGGTGACCTGCTACAAAGCAATGTAAGGTAAAATATGTAAGGTGCAGGGTGGGCTCGGGAGCCGAGAAGAGCTGCACGTGAATACATGCTCTCCCTTGGTTACCCCAAGTCCCATCAGTAAATGGGAATAGAAACATTGACTCCATAGGATAGTTTTGAGAATAATAAAACATACTCCTCAACTTGAAAAAGAAGATACTATTTTTGAGAGGTCTTTGGCATTTTTTATATAGTTGGGTATCATTATTTACTTTTAAATGCAAGATGCTAGGCTTTCTAGTATATGTCAAAAATTTGAGAGTTAAAATGATTACAATTCTAATCACTTCATTGTAGGGTTATTTTTTTATTCAAATTACTCTTTTCTATTAGATAATAAGGAAGTTTAAAAATGAGAAAAACTCTCCGACCAGTGTGACTCACTGGTTGAGCATCTACCCATGCACCAAGAGGTTAATTCCATTCCGGGTCAGGGCACATGCCCAGGTTGTGGGCCCGATCCCCAGTGGGGGGCATGCAGGAGGCGGCCAGTCAATGTTCTCACTCAATGATGTTTTTATCTCTCTTTCCCTCTCCCTCCCCGTCTCTCTAAAATCAATAAAGAAAGAAAAAGAAAAAAAAAAAGAAAAACTACTCTTAATTCTGTCATAATAACATTTCACTATTTAATCCCCACCCCCCCAGTAATCACCCATGATAAATGTGGAGTAAGGCACATGCAAGGACGCAGGATGACACTGCAACACCAGCAATACACACGAAGATCTGGGGCATCCCAGTCACACAGCGCTGTGGTCAGGTAAGAAGATTCTGAAGCAATGTTTTCAGATGACTGACTACTAATCAGAAAGAGTATTTAAAAATGCTCAACTTTAGATTTTCAAGACTGAGCAATATTTACCTTCAGAAAATACCCTTGCTTTTTTTGGGGGGGCGGGGGAGGGTATGTGCCCCTAGTGGGAACTGAACCCGGGACTCTCTGGTCCTCAGGCCAACACTTCAACCACTGAGCCAAACCGGCCAGGGCAATAATCCTTGCTTTTTGTAGTGCCCAGTCGACAAGCATCATTCAACAAGTGGTTTCTAATAACAAGTGTGATATCATATTCTCATAACGTAAGTGTATAGCCCTGGCCAGTTTGGCTCAGCGGTTGGGCGTCGGTCTGCAGACCAGAGACTACAGGGTTCGATTCCCGCTAGGGGCATGTACCACCAAAAAACAAAATAAAATAAACTAATAAAATAAATGTATAAAGGGTCTCCTTAAACTAGTAATGTCCAGAGTCACTAATAATCTTAAATGTTTCCTTTATCTTAATTTTCTATTTTTTCTAATAAACATATATAACTAAAATATTATTATAAAATTTATATATGAAATCCTGGTTCTCTAAACATAATCATTATGAGTAGTGGTTTAAAAAGAAAAATATTCAGTCCCATTATATATCCAAGGTTCTAATTAATGACATATTTATGTGTAAATAAAAAGAATAAAATATTGCTCATTCTTTCTTGATACTACTTACCTTATTGACTAACAGGTAGCAAAAGAGTGCTGAATCCTCCCTTCCAAGAAGCTGGAACCATAGTAGTTGGGAAGGTTTAAGTTCTTTTTGTAACCACATCTTCCCAGTTTCAGTGAGTTCTACTCCAGCCAGCTTAACCAGCAAAACTCCACATGGCTCTTCTAAGAAGATTAGGTAGAAAAGAGCACAGCTTTAGTACCATGTTGTGAATGCAAATTCTAAAATCATTTAGCCCCCACCCCAAAACAACTGAATGTTTTATGTTTATTTATAAAGAGCCAGACTCTCTAAATGTAAATCTACTTATTTCTATATTCAAGTTTTCTTTTAAAACAATACAAGTATATAACTGATGGAATAATTTCAAAAACCCATTTCAGTAAGCTCTACAAACAGGATGTGAGATTTAACCAATTTACCTTTTTCTTTTAAACCTTCCAGATGTATTTATTTATATCTATAGAGAGATTTGTAACACATACACACAGATCTATAGATACACAGTTTAATAATATGGGCTCTTACTACCAATAAAACTGTATAAGCTGCTTTTCCATTTAACAACTTATTGAGGATATCTTTCTATCTCAATAAATATTTATTTACATTGACATTATTATTACTTTTTTATACATTTTGAAAAACTTATTTCCAAACACAATTTTATTAATTTATATTCAAAGCAACACAGTATTAAAGTTGTTTACCAAAACCCTTGATAAAATTTGAACCAACTTTAATAACAGGATTTTATTTTAGAGAAAGTTTGTAACTTTGCAAAAAGGGATATGGCTGACAAAAAGAAAATTAATGTCTTTTTTTTTAAAAAGAAAGAAAGTACACCTTTAACATATGTTAAGATCGTATACAAGTAGTTGAAGGTAGAAAGTTAAATCCATCTAATCTCTAAGAAAAATAGTAACATTTGAGTTCAAGAAGACATCCTAAAACCCTGCTACAATATTATTTCATAATAAAAACACCTTTTCTTTACGGCATGAGCTTCTTGAAACCTGACCTAAGGTTTCAATTAGAGAAGCATCAAAAGGTATAAGTAGAAAGATTATACCCTTAGTAAAAATCTGTAATGTAGTAAATATACACATTAGATTGAGGCAACACATATAATAAAGGTCAGATGAATTCTTATCATTAGTATATAATGAGTTAAGAGAAGCCTGAAGATTCTGAGTTCTCTCTCCAATCCTGTAATGTTGCCATCAACATCAACTGTCTTCCAATAAAACATGCTCTGGGTCCAGCCAGTGTGGCTCAGTGGTTGAGCATTGGCCCATGCAGCAAGAGGTTGCTGGTTCAGTTCCTGGTCAGGGCACATGCCCAGGTTGTAGGCCTGATCCCCAGTGGGGGGCATGCAGGAGGCAGCTGACTGATGTTCTCTCTCACAGATGTTTCTATCTCTCCCTCTCACTTCCTCTCTCTCTAAAATCAATAATAAAAAAAAAAATTTAAAACAAAACAAAACAAAAAAACAAACATGCTCTGGTTTTTTAGACCAAAGCTTTTGGGACCAAAATCATGAATCTAATTCAACACTATCAACCTTACATATTAATGTACTTACACAATGAAATATACAGATCATGTGTCATAGAAATATACACTTGAAACCCATATCATCTTATTAACCAATGTCACCCCAATAAATTTATTTTTTTATTTTTATTTAATTTATCTTTATTTTTGAAAGTATGATAGATGTCCCCATAACCACCCCCCCCCCCCCCACCGGTTTGACAGTCTGTTCCGTACTTCCATGTCTCTGGATCTATTTTATTCATCAGCTTATTTTGTTCATTATATTCCACAAATGAGATCATGTGGTATTTGTCTTTCTCTGACTGACTTATTTCACTGAGCATAATGCTCTCTAGGTCCCTCCATGTTGTTTCAAGGGTAAGAGATCTTTCTTTGTTATAGCTACATAGTACTCCATTGTGTATATGTACCACAGCTTTTTTATCCACTCATCTACTGATGGACACTTGGCTGTTTCCAGATCTTAGCCATTGTAAATAGTGCTGCTATGAACATAGGAGTGCATATATTCTTTTTGATTGGTATTTCAGGCTTCTTAGGATATATTCCGGGAAGTGGGATCACTGGGTCAAATGGCAGTTCAATTTTAAATTTTTTGAGGAAAATACCATATTATTTTCCATAGTGGCTGCACCACTCTGTATTCCTACCTGCAGAGTACTAGAGTCTCTTTTTCTCCACCCCCTTGCCACACTTGTGTTTGATGAGCAATAAATTTAATTTAAAAAAAAGTATTCATGTCCTAATTCTTTAACAGAAGGTCACTGAATTCCCTTAAAATTAGCAAATTCCCCATTGAGCATATAAAATATGATGTGGTGCCCTGGCTGGTTTCACTCGGTGGTTAGAGAGTCGGCCCGTGGACCAGAGTCCTGGGTTCGGTTCCCGCTAAGGTCATGGACCTTGGTTGCAGTTTGTCCCCGGCCCTGGTTGGCGACCACTCGATGTGTCCCTTTCACATTGATGTTTCTCTCTCTCTTTCTCCCTCCCACTCTATCTGAACTAAATACTGAAAAATGTCCTCAGATGAGGATAAAAATAAGAGTCAACTGGAGTTCAAGAGGAACAAAGAAGTGTGCCCAGGACATGAAAACACATGTAAACAGAGGGAAGGTTTGTTTGCCTGGGGTCTTTGACAAGAAACAGAAAGAACTGGGAATTTCAGCAGGAAAGAACCAGCCCCTGCCAAACTCTCCAATCTCCTTTGGTGCCTCTTGTCCCCTTCTTCCCTATGCCCCAGCCACACGAGTCTTTACATGGTTTATCAATGGAGTGAAGCTCATTTCCACACATGGTCTCTCATTCTTCAGGTCACTGATTAAATAGCAACTCAATGATGCTTTCTCTGACCACTTTATAGGCATAGGTTCCCCCTTTACATGACCCCCGGTAATTCACATCCTAGCACCCAGCTCCTTTTCTTCATAGCTCTTAGAGCAATTTTCATGCGTCTGTCTCTCTTCCACCTGGACTGTAAGCTCCAAGGGGCAGGGTGGTCTTGTTTGTTTCACTCAGCACTCCGTGGCTGGTAGAGGGCCTAGAATGTAATGGGTGCTCAGTATTTGTGGAGTGAATGCTTGAATGCCTGAATGAAATAATGAATGATTGAAAAAAAGAAGGGAAGGAAGAAAGAAAATCTGGAACTAAATTAAATAGTTCCTTGTATGTTAAGGCCAAGAGTTTGGAGTTATTAAAAATTAAAATAACATTTTTGCTATTTTACAAATAAATTCTAATATAGGAACACTAAAATAGTTATTTAGTCTTATTATAGTTTCACTTACTTACTTCTCCATGAAGATATAATAGGTAAAGTAATAGGAATATGTTCAATTTCTAAACCATTCTCGGTTATTCGGCGTAATCGTCCACGTAGCTTAACATTCTTTCTTATAAATTCTACTGGAATAGCTGAAGAACTCGTAAATTTTGATGTCTGATGATTTACAAGGAGAAAAATACAACATTTTGTCATTATTTTCACTTTAAAATTGTGTCAAATTGTTATCTAAACATTTAACAAGAGAACTATTGACTAATTTTTAATTTTATATAAATATTTAATATGATTTAATAAAAAATGTTTATAGGAACATTCTTTAGAAATCTTTGTCATCATTTTACTATTTCAAGCTACTATACAGAGCACATTAAACAAACTAACTCCTAAAAGCTTACATCCTCAAAATATAACACAATTCATCAAAAAGAAGTATGAGCGTAGAGTTGTACCTGGTACCACACAGTAAATAGTCTCTATTCTGTGATATGCAGTCTATTCATGCAGGCACTTCTGGGAAAACCTAAACCAAGCTGAGTTAAATTAAATTACAACTCCTAATCAGCAAGATTGTTTCTCTTATTTTTTTTTATCTCAGGAGAAAAAGGACCAAAAAAAGGTCAACATTGGAAATTCAATTAAATACCTAATGCCCTAAAATTAGTCAATATTTTATACCTACATCTTCCACATTAATAATACTATAGGGTCACAGGGATGAGCTTCATTCGTAATCATGACTAAGTAAGAGTTTCACGCATGCAGGATAAATTAGTACCCAACTACCTGAAACAGTCCAATTGAACTAAACATTATCAAAAACAATTCTACACAAAAATAATACTGTAGTAGACAAAGCCAGAATGTGGAGCATTCAATGGGACAAATGACTTGGTTGTTCTAACAAATCAATAGCTTGGGGGGCAGTTGTTATCACATAAATGAGACTTAAGAGATGTAACAAACAAATACAATATCTGGACCATTTGAATCCTGATTTAAATAAATCATCTATTTAAAAAAGACATCACTGAGACAAAGAATTTTTACTATAGACTGGGTCTTAAATACTAAGAGATTATTAATTATATTATGTGTGATAATGTTATAGGACAAACTGGCATTATGAGCCCTTTGATGCAATACAGTAGGTAGACTACACCACTTTCTCGTTCACACTAAATCTAATGATGAAACACACAAACCCAGACCATGGGATATTCTATAAGACAACTAGCTAGGACTCTTCAAAAATGGCAATGTCATGAGAAACATAAATTAAAAATAAAGGTAAGGTGATGGTATATTCTAGATTAAAGGAGACTAAAGAGACATGACAACTAAATACAATGCATGATCCTTGGTGCAATCTTCAGCTGAGATAAAAACAGCTACAAAACATATTTTGGCTCTGGCTGGTTTGGGTCAGTGGTTGGCGCGTTGGCCTGCGGACCAGAGAGTCCTGGGTTTGGTTCCCGCTAGGGGCACGTACCAAAAACAAACATATTCTGACATAGTAAATTTGAATATGAACTATATCTTAGATCATACTACTGCAAAATGTTAAATTTTTTACTTTTTATTTTATTTTTATCCTCACCCAAGGACATTTTTCCATTTTTTACTCAGATAGAGCGGGAAGGAGAGAGAGGAAGAGAGAGAAACATCGATGTGAAAGGGACACATCGAGTGGCCGCCACCCACACGACCCAACCAGGGCAGGGGACAAACTGCAGCCAAGGTACATGCCCCTAGCGGGAACCGAACCCGGGTCTCTGTGGACCACAGGCTGACGCTCTAACCGCTGAGCCAAACCGGCCAGGGCTGCAAAATGTTAAATTTTTTAGATGGGATAATATTAACATGATTATGCAGGAACATATTCTTGCCTTAAAATATGAAGTGTTTATGGGGCAAGTTTCCAGATGTCTGCAACTTGCCTTCAAATGGTTCCACAGAGGGAGAAATAGAAAGTACAACTGCGATAAATGTTAACAACTGGTGAATCTACATAAAAAGTAGATGAGTGTTGCCCTGGCCAGTTTGGTTCAGTAGTTAAAGCATTGGCGGGCAGACCAGAGAGACCCGGGTTCGGTCCCGCTTAGGGGGCACGTACCTCAGTTGCAGTTTGTCCCATGACTCACATGGATGTGTCTCTCTCTCTCTCTTCCTCTCTCCCTCCCGCTCTATCTGAAGATAAATGCAAAATGTGCTCAGGTGAGGATTCAAAAAAAAAAAGTAGGTGAGTGTTACAACACTTTTTCTAAAGAAAATGTTGCGGGGGGAAAGGATTCTGGATCTATTATCAGCATTCAAGAATGTGGAATATTCTCCAAGCCACAAATAAAGCTGTGTTGTTGCGGGGGGCGAGAGGGAGTGGAATATTAGTTCAATTTCAGGTTTCAGCACCAAAACAAACAAAAAACAAAAAGAATGTAAAATATGCAGAAAGTAAATAAAAGAGAGGAGAAATTCTAACTCAAATCACGAAGAGTTTAAGTAAGTCACCTGACAAAGGCTTTTTATGAAAAGTCTGTAGGAAAAACAAATATGGGCTAATGTCCACAAGAATGGCTCCCAATATGGCTTTGTGACATCACAAAAGCAGCACTGATGAATTCATCAAAACCAGTGGGAGGGGCCCAGTGGTTGAGCATCAACCCATGGACCAAGAGGTCCTGGGTTCAATTCCCTGTCAGGGCACATGCCCGGGATTGTGGGCTCAGTAACCAGTAGTGGAGGGGTGCAGGAGGCAGCCAATCAATGTTTCTCTCTCACTGAAGTTTCAACCTCTCCCTTCTTTCTCTAAAAAAAATCTAAAAAAAATTTTTTTATATGCATAACCAATGAACACAGACAACAGTGTGATGAAGGTGGGGGGAGGGGCAGCGAGGAAGGTGGGACACCTGTAATACTTTTAAAAATAAAGATAACAAAAACAAAAAAAAACAATGGGAGGGGTACTCTAGGAGTTTAAGATGATCACCACTGACTTGAATGAGGATAAAATAGCAGTGTGGTATGATACTTGGAAGGATTTGAATGCTAAAAGTCAGAGTTAGTATTTAAAAAGATTTTCACAACCAGAATGTTAGGGTAAAATGTAAAAGTCTTCCCTTGTACTATACCCCAAATTAATGAAAGATAGAAGAGAATGAACTAATAGTAGCATATATAAAAAATAAACGAGCCTGACCGGTGTGGCTCAGTGGTTAAGCATTGACCCATGCACCAGGAGGTTGCTGCTTCAATTCCGGGTCAGGGCACATGCCCAGGTCCTGAACCAAATTCCCAGTGTGGGGCATGCAGGAGGCAGCCAATCGATGTTCTCTCTTATCAATGTTTCTATCTCTCTCTCCCTCTCCCTTCCTCTCTCTGTAAAATCAATAAAGGAAAAAAACAAAAATAAATAAATAGGACTTCCGGTCAAGATGGCGGCGCATGTAAACGAGATACCGCGTCCTCCCACAACCACATCAAAGTTACAACTAAACTACAGAACAACCATCCTTCAAAACCGCCTGAAATCAAGCTGAATGGAAGTCCTACAACTAAGGAAGTAAAGCAGCAGCCACATCGAGACTGGTAGGAGGGGCGGAGGGGACGGGCTGGTCCCACACCCACGTGTGGCAGATAAAAATCAGGAGGACACCTCGGCTGGGAAGGTCCTCCCTGAGGACTGAGGGGTCCCCGTCCCACACCAGGTGCCCCGCTCAGGGTTCCAGTGCCAGGAAGAGAATCCCCATAACTTCTGGCTGGAAAAACCAGCAGGAATTGAGGCTCAGAGAAGCTGAAGCGGCTGGAGCCCCAGGCAGCTCCTTAAAGGGCCCGCGCACGGACTTATCGGACTCTCTCCCTCTAAGCTTGGAGGGGAGGCAGCTCGAGGGGCACCAGAGACACACAGGGAAGAACTGAGCTGTTTGGCACTGGAGCGAGGGCTGGAGAGGGGGCTTTCTCGGGGACAAATGTGCTGTCAGAGGCCTTTGTTCCTTTGGTGAGCCCTTCCTGGGGGCGGCAGACAGTTGCCATATCTGGGACTCCAGCACCCTGGCTCACACTGGTAGCCCCGCCCTGGTGACTCCCTGAGGCCCTGACCCATCCCACCCAACTTTCAGGCCCACCCAAGCTGTTGCCACTTGCTTAACCATAGGATTGGCCTGTCTTGGACCCTGCTTCAGGTTTTCCTAAATTCTTTCAAATGAGCAGCATCTGGTCTCAGCTAGCCCCATATCTCTCATTAAGTAATACACAGAAACAAACACAGGGAGGGAGCCAAAATGAGGAGACAAAGAAACAGGTCCCAAATGAAAGAACAGAACAAAACCCCAAGAAAAGAACTAAGCGAAATGGAGATAAGCAACCTAACAGATGCTGAGTTCAAAATACCGCTTATAAGGATGCTCAATGAACTTAGTGAGGGCCTCAAGAGCATAAAAAAGGACCAGTCAGAAATCATGGGTGCACAGTTAGAAATGAAGGAGGCATTAACTGAAATAAAGAATAATTTACACAGCTTCAATAATAGAGTACGTAAATCCAAGGAGCAAACCATCGATTTGGAATATAAGGAAGCAAAAAAGGCCCAATCAGAACAGCAAAAAGAAAAAAGAATCCAAAAGAATGAGGATAGTGTAAGGAGCCTCTGGGACAATTTCAAGTGTGCCAACATTCGCATCTTGGGGGTGCCAGAAGGAGAAGAGTGAGAATAAGAAATCGAAAACCTGTTTGAAACAAGAATGGCAGAAAACTTCCCTAACTTGGTGAAGGAAACAGACATACAAGTCCAGGAAGCACAGAGACCCAAACAAGATGAACCCCAACAGGCCCACACCAAGACACATCATCATCAAAATGCAAAAGGTTCAAGACAAAGAGAGAATCTTAAAAGCAGCAAGAGAAAGGCAGCTAGTTACCTACAAGGGAGTTCCCATTAGGTTGTCAGCTGATTTCTCACAAGAAACTTTGCAGGCCAGAAGGGAGTGGCAAGAAATATTCAGAGTGATGAAAAGCAAGAACCTACAACCAAAATTACTCTATCCTGCAAAGCTGTCATTTAGAATCGATGGCCATAGAAAGACTTTCCCATACAAGAAAAAGTTAAAGGAGTTCATCACCACCAAACCGTTATTATATGAAATGATGAAGGGTTTTTTTGAAGAAAAAGATAAAATATATGAACAAACAAAATGGCAATGAATACATATCTATCAACAATGGAATCTACAAACAAAATGAACAGGCAGAACAGAAACATTCTCATAGATACAGAGAACATTTTGTTGGTTGCCAGTTGGGAGGGGGGTTGGGGGCATGAGTGAAAAAGGTGAAGGGATTAAGAAGTACAAATTCATTGCTAGACTGACAAACCTCAAAGGGAAAGGCGTTGGGGGAGTGGGAAGAAATAAACCAAAGAACTTATATGCATAACCAATGGACACAGACTCTAGTGTGGGAAAAGGCAGGAGGGGGGCAGTAGTGGGTCAATGGGGGAAAAATGTGGAACATCTGTAATACATTTTACATCCAACAATAAAGATTAAAAAATAAATAAATAAATAAATAAGCCCTGGCCAGTTTTCTCAGTGGTTAGAGCATCAGCCTGCAGACCAGAGAGACCCAGGTTTGGTTCCCGCTAAGGGCATGTACCTCGGGTGCAGTTTGTCCTCGGCCCAGGTTGGGGTTGTGTGGAAGGCAGTCACTCGATGTGTCCCTTTCACGTCAATGTCTCTCTCTCTCTCTCTCTCTCTCCCTCCCTCCCACTATATCTAAACAAAAATTGAAAAATGTCCTGGTGAGGATAAAAATAAATATATGAATGAGAGGTTTTTAGTTCATTGTGAACTCAAAATGAGTGAAAGTATGACAAAGTTACCAAAAATAGTACAAATTCCCTTCCTCTTCTGCTGCACTCCCCAAACTACTTTAAGTATATTTTTAAGGACTACCAAGAGAAATGATCCCTCCGCACTACTCTTTTTTTTTGTTTTTTTTTGCATTTATCTTCAGATAGAGCAAGAGGGAGAGAGAGAGAAACATCCACATGAGAGAGACACATTGCGTGGTTGCCACCCACACGACCACAATCGGGCCCAGACAAACTGCAACCGCGATACACGCCCTTAGGGGGAACCGAACCCAGGACTGTCTGGTCCACGAGCCAATGCTCTAACCTCTGAGCCAAACCGGCCAGGGCCCCTTAGCACTATTCTTTTTTTTTTTTCCAGTATGTGCCCCTAGTGGGAAATGAACCCAGGACTCTCTGGTCCACAGGCCGAAGCTCCAACCGCTGAGCCAAACCGGCCAGGGCCTCAGCACTATTCTTAACCAAACTCTTAATCAGATCGTTTAATATTTTGAAAATCTGAAAACCTTCAAAATGCATAAAATATATAGATTTTAGGGTTAAGAAAGAAAAAAGTAGAATGAAAAGAACTAAAGTCTCAAAAGTTCCAGTCATATATGTGTGTGTATATATAATGCTAAAAATATATTATATAAAAAATAAACATATATTATGCTAAAAATAAATGACTTACAAAATCATGGAGCTGTAAGAAATAACCTATTAGATATAAGGTTAAAAATAAGTTCAAGGTGCCCTGGCAGGTGTGGCTCAGTTGGTTAGAGCTTGGTCCCTTATACCAAAAGATTTCGGGTTGGATCCCCAGTCGGGGCTCATATGGGTGGCAACCAAAAAGAGAAAATCAATGATTACATTTTTTTTAAAGTTCAAGGCACTTAAAAAAGAGAAAAGAAGAGCCCATCTGGTATTGCTCAGTGGTTGAGCATCAGACCCATGCACCCAGAGGTCACTGGTTTGATTCCCAGTCAGGGCACAAGCCCAGTTTGTAGGCCTGATCCCCATGCCGGGGCCAGCCAATCAATGTTCTCTCTCCCTCTTCCTCTCTCTCTAAAATCAATAAAGAAAAAAACATTTAAAAAAGAAAAGAAGATTAAAGTGCTGACATGGAGTCAGGGAGAAAAGGCAACAGTTGAAAAAGATGTATAGTAAATCTATGTAGTCAATGTAATATAAAACAATATAGAAATAATAAATGTAGAAAATATATACAGAAGCAATAAATCCATACCAGATTGCAACATGACACTAAAATTACATCCTATAGAAAGTAGTTATAAAAAAATACTTATAAATATTAAAATATCAAATGAATTTCCACAATGTTTATTATTAAAATACTATTGAAAGTGCAAAAAAAAAAAAAAAGCTAACTGAAAGCATAAATTATGTTTTACACCATACATCTTGCTTTATCCATTGAACAACAGATCTTAAAGATTGTTGCAAATCAGAGAAAGCAAACATTTTTCAGTTCAAAGAGACATAATTCAACTATGATCGAAATCTAAAACCACTATAGAAAAGTTTTGAGATATTTCACAATGTCTGAAATGCAAATTTAGTGATTATACCATTTTAGCAAACTCAATCATTTTCAGATTGCTTTTTAAGCATGAAGAAAGTGATTATGGAAATACAGGCTATGCAATTACCTGCCATAAAATACTATGGATGTGTTACTGTTAAAACAATCTTAATTGTTCATTGTTCTAAAATTACTATTTGAATGTTTCTAATATGAATAACAAAGTGCTACACTGCTTGAGATAAAAACTGGAGAAAAAAATTAACTGTCTATTGCTTCTCATAATGTCTTGTTCATTTTTTAACTTACCAGTCGAACACTTCTTAGAAGTAACATTATTCCAGCTATGGCCATTATGGTGCTGATGTTCTTCAGAAAGAAATTTAATGATTAAGTCTCGTTAATTATTATTTACAACAGTGAAAGTACTAATTAGAGGGGGGAAATAAGACTGTCTTCCTATATCTAACTGTGCAAATAAGGCAGATTCTTCAACTAAAGGCCTACTTCTTCCAAAAGACTTGAACTGCCCACCTATTAATCTTCCCCTTTTTCTTTCAAATAATCTGGCATGCACAGTAATTGTTTGCATAGTATTGTATTGTTCTCTTTTAATTGTATTACTTTAACCATGAGTTCCCTGAAAGCAAGAATCAGTTTAATACTTCTTGTGCAATGCCAACAGTAATTTACCTAACCCTGAGCCTACAGTGGGAATTTAAATATTTAGTAGAAACCTTTATCACCAAAACCTTAAAATACTGCACCTTGGGAAATACATGTAGGTAAACAGTTCAGAAAAACGTAGTGATGTTTTTATAGTGTTTCATTTAAACTGAAGTAGATCTAAAGGGATTTAATTAAAACACAAGAACCTTGTAACACCCTAAACAAAACTGAGAATCTTACATGCTTTCCTTCAATAAATACAACTAGTTATATAAGGAATGAAGTTGAAAACATACATAAGGTACATTCTGTGATGGGTTACTTGGAATAATACATCCCCGTACTAACAAACACTGCTTCCTCTCCCAAGCCTGCTGAAGTCCTTTATCAATTTGTAATAACCTGGGTATCTCTTCTTGCTTACCGGAAAGAGTGGAGGCCTGGTCAATTAACACCTATATATGAACCACTCATTAATGCCTCAAATACTTATCTATCACTTACTAAGTGGCAGGCAGTACTTTAAGAATGAGGGCTGCACTCCTGGACAGCTTTGTGCTGCATGCCTGCAGAGCACTTGCAAGGCTGATGATTCTCCTGAGTTTCTCAGCAGACTTCATCAAAGTTAACCATTCCTTCTGAAAATATTCTCTTCACTTGGCTTCTCGGACACCTGGTTTTCCTTCTCCTCCCTCAATGTTCCTTTCCTAATCTTTGCTGACATCCTTCTTTTCACTCTCCAATTTCTGGACGTTACAGGTCCTGCAGGTCTCAATTCGAAGCTAGGACTTCTTCAGTAGCTTTTCTGACTCGCTCCAAGATGTCATCCAAGTTTTAACTACTACTTCAGGTGTACAGAGCTCACTCCCAAAGGTCTATGTCCAGTCTTGACCTCCCTTCAACACAAGACTCCTATATCCAGTTGCCTACGTGTAGAAGTCTAAGGACCATGTTCAAGTCCACACATCTCTATTTAGAAGTCTAACAAGCATCTTCAAGTTCACGTGTCCAAAAAGAGCTCTGGATTTTCCTAACAAAACATTTACCCCAACTACTCCATATCAGCAGCTTTTGCCAACATCTACCCAGGGGCAGCCCCCTGGACTTCTCTTTCTTTGTAACCCCACCCAAACAATGCACACCACCACCGGGTCTCAGCCACAGCCCTCCCCAGCCTGGTCGCCTGAGATGTCCCTCCCTAGCTACAACTTCAGTGTCTTCTCACTTCGCTTAAAAATAAACGAAACAAAAACCTCCGCTCTCCCCAGGCCCACAGGGCCCACGTGCTTCGCCCTCCGCCACCCCACTGCGCCCAAGGACCCGCGGGCACTCGCCCTCGCGGGGCCCCAGGACCAGCGCAGCGCTGGCCTCCCGCCGGTCGCCCCCGCCCCGCCCACGCGCCCCTGGCGCCGCGGCCTCGGAGCCGCCGCCCGGCGCCCACCACCTGCCCGGCCCGCGGGACTGCGGTACCCGGACGAGGCGCAGGTGGTCGTCCGCCCACTGCGACATCCGCGCCACCGCATTGGGCGCCGGTCCGTCTCGGTCGGCGGGCGGCGAGGCCCGGGGCTCCGGCCGCCCCGCCATGTTCCCGGCCTCCTCGAGCCCGCGCCGCGCTCCCCGGCGGCGGCAGGGGGTGCCGTGCTCCCCGGCGGGCGGCAGGGGGCGCCGCGCTCCGCCGGCAGTTGGGGGCGCCGCGCGCTGGCGACCGCCGGGTTCCCTTCACCTTGGCCTGGGAGTGGCCGGCGACCGGCTGCCTTCCTTCCGTCGCCTGTGGGCGGGCCTCCCAACCCGTTATGAGACACCCCGACAGTGGCCTCTCCGCATTCTGCAGGGTTTCCCCGCAGCGTGGGTGCTCCCTGTGGCTCAGGGGTGGGGGTGGGGGAGTCTCCAGTACCTGGTGGGAAGAGGGGCACTTGGTGATTTCAATGGACGCAGCCGCAGTGTGGGTTCCGCAGGTGCCATGCAGGAACGGAAATTGAACTTCATTCCGCCACTTCAGCGGTAATTCTTTGAGCTCACCGAGACGACCAAGCCACTGAACCAAGTCCTGTTCGTCTGCCCCCTCTAGTCTTCAGGTCCCATCTCAGCTTTGACCCTGTTTTAGCGGTGTGCTCACTCCCCCGAAATAGCATCAACTCCAACCCCTCCTGCCTCCTTTGCTCTTGCCTGGCACAGCCTCAACATTGTAGTACACCCCACGCGCACCAAACAGCTGGAGTCTAGCTTGGAGAGATCTTCAGCTCTTTCATGATAAGCTGCAAATCTAGACTTTTATATGAGATCACCTTGTTATGAAATTAAAATGAAATGTTGGCACAACACCGTGCTGGGCATAGAATAGGTGTTAAAGCAGACTACAGACTTTCTGTGTATACCTCTGCTTTAAGGCTTTCCATTAGGTTCAAGTAATGTCAAAGGTCCTTTGGCTCATGTAGAAGGTGCTAAATAATCGAAGCTCTGGTTAGCTAAGCTTTTCTTTTCTACTTCCTACTTCATTCGTTACACTCGAGCACACTGAGCACACTGAGCTTCTCTCTGTTCTTCACACATGCCAAGTTCATCACTGCCTTGCCGCCTTTGAACTTACAGTTCCCTCTGCCTAGAATGCCCTGATCCCTCCTCCCTTTGACTCTCTCCACCCCACCACCACCACCAAGGTGGCTTCTTCCTTATCCTCTCAGTTTAAGTATATCCACAAAGAGGGCTTTTCTAAACACTCCATATCAAGTAGGTCCTCAACATATACAACATAAAATTTAATTTGTAATTTTATAGAGATAGGCTTTCTTTTTATTCTCTTGCTTCCCCACTAGTTTGTAGGTCAGGAATGCATCTCTATTGTGTATCTATGCCTCAATAGCCAGTGCCAAGCATAGTTCCTGATACACAGGAGAATCTTATTAAATATTAGCTGAATGAGGATTCTTCTAGTCTTTATACGACAAAATCTCTACCTATCACGCCTCCTCCTCCTGTTTTGTCCTCCTCTCCTCTTCCCTTCCACTTCCTTCCATTTTCTTTTATTTAAAAAAAAATGTTTTTACTAATTTTTTAGAGAGAGAAATAGAAACATTGATTGGCTGCCTCCTACACACCTCCCACTTAGGATCAAGTCTCCTCCCGGGGATGAGCCCTGATGGGGAATAGAACCCGGAACTTTTAGTCCATGGGACATGCTCAATCCACTGAGCCATACCAACAGGACTCCTTTCATTTTCCTGCAGACCAATTCAGTCCTACAGTCTTCAGGGAGAGCAGAATTAGTAATCAGAATTTACATGAAGTCAAGAGTACCAGTCAAGGTAACTACGTAGCATAATATAAAATACTGCATAAATATATTTTTGTCTATTAGTTCTTTGCTTCTCCTCTATGATTTCAAAGACAACTGGATAAAACAGTATTTATAAAACTGTGTTGATGGGTTTTTAATGTATAAAGATATAATTTGTATGACAATATCACAAAGGAGGGTGGAGGGAACAGAACTATATTGGAGCAAAGTTTCTGTATTCCATCCACATTGATTTGTGCACTTTATTTAAATTATACCTTAATTTTTTTTTTTTTAACTAGGTGGAGGGAGGCCCAGCTAGTGCGGCTCAGTGTTTGAGCGTCGACCCATGCACCCGGAGGTCACCAGTTTGATTCCTGGTCAGGGCATATGCCCAGGTTGTGGGCCCAGTCCCCTGTGTGGGGCATGCAGGAGGCAGCCAATTGATGTTCTCTCTCATCGATATTTCTCTCTTCCTCTCCCTTACTGTCTAACATCCATAAAAGAAAAAGAAAAAAAACTGACTCAGTCATTTAAGTAAATAAATAGGTGGAGGGAGGCTTTTGGATCTTATAATGACACTTGTAAGAAACGAGGAATCCTAGAACCTCAAGCCAGTTACCAGGCAACAATCAGGAAATGCAATATAGCTAGGCCTTATGTCTAGAATGTAGTTTGGGCTACATTCAGGATCTACTATAACACTACAGAGTTTAGCCACCAATTCTGCCCCCTTCCTCAGAAGCACTACACTGATCCCTTCAAATATTACCCTGTCTCCAACAACTCAACATCTGCCTCACTGTGTATTTCTTATTCGCCTCTCACTACTAACACACACTTTGTATCCCACACTCTTTGCATGACTTCCTAAAAAATTATTATGGGTTCAGGCGTTATCATCCATATCAAGCAAGGTTTTCACGCCAACACACCTAGTGGACTGATAGCTGATCTATAAACTGGCTATGGGACAATCAGCTGGAGTTAGTATCTCAAGGTTAAATGGTCAAAAATGGCCACTTAAGTTTAAAGACAGAGTTGCTTTGCTAAGCCTGGGGCTCTGATCATGGCATTTGCTCCAAGAAGGGGATGTAGTAAGCATGTAAAAGAAAATGACCTCTCCAGAACATTCTCCGAAACAAAGTTACTCTTTGCTTCCTCTTTCTTTCATTGCCCTTTCTTTGCTGAATAAACTATAACCTCTAAAGGAGAAAGACATGTCAAGAAATTTTTATTGCACAAAGGATAAATTTGTTGAATAAAATAAAGACTATAAGAAACTCACCAATATATTAAGGATAATGTATAAATATATGCCTGTAACACATCTTGTAAGCTTTCTATCAAGTTCAGAATGAAATATTCCTACAGGATTGTCCTATTTGTAATCATAGCTCTGCCATTCCACTCCAGCATGCCATTTAGAAAGCTGGATAGTAAAACGCTGAAATGTTTGCCTCCTGAGGTTATCACTAGAGTCTCAACACTTATTAAACTTAACATGCAAAGTTTATTTTTACTTCAGGACACTGATCTGACAATTAAGAAGTCTACGTAAGGAATTTCTGGCAGAACATTGCATATGATACACAAACAAAACCTGAAATGTATTAACATATATCCCTTATTCTAGCCTTTGAGGTAGGACAATACTTATTTTGAGCTCTTTTCTTAGTCAAGAACAGAGATTTGCTTTGTTTATTTCAAATAAGAGAAACTGTACTACCAGAATTGAGAGTAAAGAACCTCACAAAATTACCCTACTTAAAAATTTGGCACTGTCCAATCAGGCAGGGTTTAAGCTGAAGTGGAAGAGAACATGGTCTACAGTAGGTATTTTAAACCTTCTAACAGAAAATGAAATAATTATGCCTTGCTATCTACCAAAGACACTGATTTAAGAAAACAAAAGTCTCGCCCTGGCCGGTTTGGCTCAGCGGTTGGAGCGTCGGCCTGCAGATTAGAGTCCCGGGTTTGGTTCCCGATAGGGGCATGTACCAAAAAAACAAAAAAACAAAACAAAGTCTCAGTAGTTACAATGCACACTATCACTTTCCGTTAAAATAAAAACTTAAGTTTATATTCTCTAATACTAAGATAAACTACATTGTGGGAATCAAAAAGTTGGTTATTTTTAGCAGGTTCTGTGTTACATAGTTTTACTCATTCTTTTAACTACATAAAAAATATGATCCCCTAAAATAGAAAAACAAATTTGGTCTTGTGTTATATTAAATATTGATCTTCACCATTTAATATAAAATGTACTTTTTGGGGTTTCTGTTAACAAGGCAAAATAGAAGTTTTTAATATGAAAAAAAGGATTAAATGGCTAAGATAGATCTCATGTGGGATAAAATTCATTTATGTCTCTTCAGTAATGTCTTATCTGCTCTAATCCCTTCAAGGTTCAAGATCAGTACCACAAAGGCAGATTTTCATCACAGATTTTTTTCTTTTTCATGTCTTTATTGATTTTAGAGAGTAAAGGAGAGGGAGGAGTGAGAGAGAGAAACATAGATGTGAGAGAGAATCATCAAATGGTTGTCTCCCATATGCACCCTGACTAGGGATGAAACCCACAACCTGGGTATGTGCCCTGACCAGGAGTTGAACCGGCCTCTGTTGGTGCATAGGATGACACTCAACCAACTGAGCCACATGGGCCAGGGCTAAATTTTTCTTTTAACATTGTTTTCAGGATGCTTTAAACAAGAACTCCATAACTATTATTTCAAATCTATGTTTACAATTTATAGTACTGCCCACATTAAGTAAGGCCATGACTTTACACTTTTTTTGGATCATAATCCATTCAATATTTTAACAAGAGCTCTTTCCAGAGAAACAAAAAATTACATATCCAGTTTTACAAGTAATTCAGGGGTTTCAAGTCCTCACTGACATCTGTTTAGCCTAAAAGCCCTTGTAATAAAGGGATGAAGTTAAACAATAGGTTTAGATTGTAGGTTTAGATTTCAGTGGTTTAATATATGAAAGAAAAACCTGTATTTTAGGTGTTGAACAAATTTTTATAAATGACCAAGCAAAGTTAAAATATTTACAAAGGAGGGATTTTTTTTTTTTTTTTTTAGTTTTTTCTTAATCTTGTAAGAAACTTTTCAAACTCAAATGTATACCGGTTGCAACCAATGTGCAGATGGAGATATTGAAATAAAGAGTTATGTTCATGTCTGATATTAGCCAGTAAATATATACATTAACCAGAGGAGTTAATGTTCATCTTGAGGGTAAAGTTTATCAAGATCAATCAGTAAAGGAAGGAAGGGCGGGGAGGAGGGTATCAATAGTGGGGAAAAGGAGGGACATTTGTAATACTTTCAACAACACAGAAAAAAAGATCAATCAGTAAAGAAAAATATACAGAAAGAGAGGTAGTATTTTCTAGTACTATTGATTTACAATAAATAGACCGTCAAATTTAGGTAGATCATTTGTTAAAATGCCATCGGTAATCAATGTATGCTACATAGATGCACATAGCTATTAATAAGTCATTATGGACATGTATTAGAAGCATGTATCCAAATAACCAAATGACTACAATTTAAAATAACTGTTCATTTCTGAAGCAAATGCAATTACTGGCTTCCACCTCATCATTAACAGCTTAAAATATATTTTAAACTACAGTCATTAAAGATTTGTAGACTTAAAAGTATGTGTAATTTGTAATAACATGAATAAGAAAAAAATAAAAGGTAATTTTGGCAATGTGAGCTACCTACTCCAAAAATTAAAATACATTTCAAATATGAGAGTTAGTGGGTTTTTTCTTTATTCAAGTAAACACTTTGATTATAATACATGATAATGCACAACCCATGTGACAAAGTACTGGAGTCTATCATTTGGTGTAGCCTCCTTGTCTCCAGGATGATTTTCCAGGTGGTTCTTCAGGATCTGACATCAATGCCAACACAGGCTTCCAATGGCAATGCATGCATTTTAGAGGCCGCTGCCTCGGTCTGTCTTTCTTCGAATACCAAGTGCCATTTTCTCCCACCCAGTTTATCCTCCATTACTTATAAAAACCCCACTCTAAAATTCAACCTATGTTGTAAAATTAACAAAATCAAGTTAGTATAGATCTTCCACAAAAATAAAATTACTAAGTAAGACTACTTAATTTCTCTTTTACTCTAACTTTTGAAGGATTTATATAATCTTTAAAAAGTCAGAGTAATACACAACACAAAATATGCAAAGAACCTTATGTTGGAAATTGCTAAAGTCCTGAAAAGCTTAATTCTCCTGGAATAGCAATTTTCTACCGAAAACTATAGTTTACAAACAGAAGATTGTGTTTTAATTAAGTGGAAATACAGTACCTGATTTGGTCTAAAGTAATTGTGAGATCTTTTCTCACTAGTAAAGTGCTTAATTAAGAAACATTCTTCTACCACATGATTTAATTAGTCAAAGGCACAAATGTCTTTGTCTCTTTAAAGCATTTTTTAAAAATTACAGTACTGCTCACTTAAATGTTACTTAATCTGAAATCTTTACTTCTTTTTTTCTTCTCGGTAAAACCCAAAAATACTTGAAGAAAAACATTTAATTTTTATTTTCAAAATTTTGCCACGAACATGTATACAACACTATTGAATCCCCTCATGAGATTTCTGTGTGTCATGTAGCACTTATGACAAAAGACATATGCAAGCTTTAGGGTAAAAGTTAACAAGGAATCAAAATATCTTCCTAAAAAGGGTGAACAGGGAATCAATAAATTAAAAACCATAGCTTTCATTTTATAAAAAATAGTCTGAATAATTTTATTATAAATCTTTAATGCCTACAAAAGCAGGAACTACATTTAAAATAGTCTTTTTAACACAGATTTATTAGTACAGTGTGGTTGTGGTCAGAAAAATAACAATTAAAATGGCATTTCAGTTTTCTAAATTCTCAAGAAATTCCACATAGAATTTAACAATTTGCAACTCAAAATAAGATTTAACTTTCAACATATCAGGAGTCTTATAATCAGTACCTGTATATCAGTCTCTGCCATTTAATATATTTTAGCAAAATTTTAAATACAGCTCAAGGATAGGAACTGATAACAATACTTGACTGCATGGTTACCACCCATGGCTACTGCATGGCTGCTTAAAACTTTGGTCAGTAAATTAAAAAGATATAAATCAAATAACAAGGCCAGAAGAGTTGTTTTAGAGCAGATTTCCTGACCTTAACTGTAAATACATTAACAATTCAAAGGAAAATATAATCATGTCTACAGAGAGAGGTCTCTATTTTTAAACCATTTGGCATTTTATAGTAATTTCCTTGTTTAAAATAATATTTTATACTCCTGTACACTGATTAACATAGCTCTCTGAATAAAAACTAAACTATAGTTACCTTTCTTTGAATGTCCAGTAGTTAATGCATTAATTGCTCCTTTTGCACTTCCATGAAGATGGCCCCTCATCTTGCAATTTTTTAAATTTTGGACCAAGAAAGAACCACCACCCAAATCCAATAAACACACAAATAATGGACTCTACATAATAACCATCCAGTGCCGTAACACATGAGCCACCGAGTTTTTTGCAAAGCTGTAGAAATAAAATTACAATAATAAATATTCCATAATTTCAAAATGGAAGTATTTAGCAATTTACATGTTGCTACTTTGTAATTTAAAAAACTGATCAAAATTTATTTTTGTTATAATATGTTAATGTATCTTAATCTCTCTAATGCTGCCAATAGGATTAAAAGCAATTTCAACTCGTGCTATAAACAATATACATTTTCAAGATACAGCTTTTCATATTTGAAAGTGTGAAATGTCCAATGAATCTACTACAGAAGTAGGCTAATGTTACTTTGAAATAATCTATCAACAAACTACTAACCACTTACTTGGTTTTACCCACAAATGCCAATGAAATTTCCCTTTTGCTGTCATTATAAAACTTAACTATTATAATGCATTTATTAAGTATCTATTGTGTAGGACAGTAATCCTCAGATGGAGACTGCTCCTCCCTTGCTGAGAAGTATCTTCAAGTAAGCTACTTTTATTGATTTGAGTGCATTAAAACCCTTAGTTATGATGGGAAAGAAAAAAATATGTAGATTTCCATATAAGAAATTATGGGCAGCCCTGGCCGGTTTGGCTCAGCGGTTGGAGCATCCGCCTGCGGTCCGGAGAGACCCAGGTTCGGTTCCCGCTAAGGGCATGTACCTCGGTTGCAGTTTGTCCCCAGCCCTGGTTGGTCATGCGGGTGGCGGCCACTCGATGTGTCCCTTTCACATCGATGTTTCCCTCTCTCTCTCTTCCTCTCTCTCCTTCCCACTCTATCTATACAAAAAATGGGAAAATGTCCTCAGGTGAGGATAAAAAAAAAAGAAAAAGAAGAAATTATGGGCAGATATGATTTTTAAAATAGATATAGTACTTCTAGAGGCAAAACAAGGAAATCAATTTCTTAATATTAGTTTAATGTTATTAAAATTACAACAGGAAGCATTTGAGATCTTGCTTCCCAGTGTGTCATCAGTTTGGCTTAAATAAACTCTTATAAAAATAAAAACAAATAAAATTACAACATACTTACTTCAACATTATCAGGAATTCGACAATTCTGGTTTGATGCTCCTACACACTCTTTCACAGTGAGGGGATCTACTAGCCAAAGGGCTACTGTAGAAGGCCAGTTTCCTCCCAGATTGGACACTGTATTTAAGAGAGTCATATATGTTCCTCCAATAAGTGGATCACTAACCTTTGCATTAAAAGCCATTATGGAAACATACATGCTGTACAATGTAACCTACAAGGAAAATGTAAAACATTTTTAGTACAATTAGATTTTATAAAACTACAGTCTGAACTAAGAAAATCAAAATTATATAAATCTGAAAATTAATTTTAATAACCCTTCTTAAACTCAAGTCAACAAACATTTATTGAACATTTCTTATTGGCCAGGTTTTAAGCCAGATCATGGAAATATAAAGATGACTAAGAAAGTCTCTTTGTGCCCTTCAAGAATTTATTCGAGCCCTGGCCGGTCTGGCTCAGCGGTTGGAGCGTCGGCCTGCGGTCCCGAGAGACCCGGGTTCGGTTCCCGCTAAGGGCACGTACCTCGGTTGCAGTTTGTCCCCGGCCCTGGTTGGTCGTGCGGGTGGCAGCCACTCGATGTGTCCCTTTCACATCGATGTTTCTCTCTCTCTCTCTTCCCCTCTCTCCCTCCCACTCTACCTGAACAAAGAATGGAAAAATGTCCTCAGGTGAGGATAAAAAAAAAAAAAAAAAAAGACTTTATTCGAGGCTGGGAAAATAGGAAATAAGTAATTATGATTAAATGCAGTGAATATTGTAAATAGCAGTACACAAATCGTGTTACTGGGGTCTAAATTAATGAGAGCATAATTCTACCATAAGTAGTCAAGGAAGGCTCAAATGACAAAATGACAGATGAGTTGGCCTAGAAAATGCATACAGCAATAAGCAAAACCTCATATTTGTACTGCACCTAAATATATCATATATAAGTGTATATCTATTTACATGTATATATGTATTATACAAGCACTGAAATATTAAAAGAAACAAGAAATACAATTATATACATATATAATTTTTGCCTACATACATAGAAAAAAATTTTTTTAAAAATCTATGTGATAAACTAAAGAAAAAAATTTCCTTAAAGATAAAGTGCTTAAGAGGCAAAAATTAACCTTCCATTTAGGAACATGGAAATAAACCATACTTCCAAAACAGCATTCCTTTGAAATACTGTTCCATAAGATGTTCCAATATCAAATAAGACTGAGAAAAAACAAATCATATAAAATTAAACAGGTCCCTTTCACTGTAGGCCTTATGAAAGCCTTTAGGATATAAACTCCTCAAGGGCAGAGATTTCTGCATGACTATTCACTGTTATATTTTAGTACTTTGAATGTTTTCTGGCATGGAATCGGTATCTACTTAAAATTTGTTGAAGGAATGATTAAGATACTACAAAAGGAGGGGTTATGCCATGTATAATTTCTCAAATACTTGGCTTTGTACTTTTTTCCCCATAAAGCATTTGGTTATCTGAGTTTCAATGACTACACTTTGAAAAATTCTCTTGTGAAATCTAAAGCCAAACAAATGATTTTTGGACTATTACATCATAGTTTTCTTTTACTTAGACAAGTAGTGAGCATTTGCTAAGCTAAAGCACTTCTTTTAACTTTTATTTTGTGCCTAGTATTAACTAAGTATGTGCAAAACAAAAGAAAATTATATTTGACACCCTGGCCTCAATGATTTTATATGATCCACTATGGAGCTCTCCTAAATGATACAACTGCATGCAAAAAAAAATTACTGAGATTATTTGGTAGCAATATTTTTAGGTTTCAGTTACAAACAAAGTGAGGAGGTGGCAAATATAACTTTCAAAATGTTTAGCTAGGTTCCACTGAAAAAGCCTAAGTGACTCTAAAATACACATTAGCAATAACTGCAGTTGAGTCCCAAGAGATACTGCTGGGTATCTGCCATTTACTTGAATCACTTGCCCCCAGAACAAAACCCCATTCTGCAATGGTGGCTTAGTTGAGGCTAGGGCAAAGTGGGGATCATTTTTTTTAAGGGATTACAAACATATTTAATAAAGAAGAAAGAGCAGATTGACACATAGCTTCCAAAATCACAAAGAGTAAACTACAACTTTCAATACAGAATCTAAACTAAAAATCTGGAAACTTGAAATCAGTAGCCATTGTTATCTTTTAATACTTCCAGAAAGAAAAAAATATTGGCACTAGAAGAAAGAATCCAAATCTAGAACTGAGAAATTCCGAGCAAGGGTAGAATTAGCAGCTTTGGAATAAATTCTGAAATACCTGTCAAATGAACAAAAGAATGAAACGAGGAAGAAACTCTTTCCATGAATAGAACTCATTAAATCAAAAGTTTCAAGGGTTAAAGTACACTGTGAAGTAATTTCATGGTCATATTTGTGCTTAAATCTTAAAATGTATTATCATTATTTTAAGGCAACTGTAGAAAATTATCTTCTTTATTTTACCCAGAACAGTTTACTTCCTGAGAAAACTACAATAAGCTTACCTGGTGTAACGCATAACTCAGCAGCACTATGATATAGTAATACATAGGGAATCCCCCTTGATGTTCTACTTTAGGAGTCCACCAAACCAGCAGAGCAAACCCTAATCCAAGCAATAATCTATAGGAAAAGAAAAAGAAAACATGGAGTTGACTTCCATTTTAGGTTAAAAAAACAACTAACACAGCAATCTCTGTGTGTCTACCACAGGAAAAATGCCAGTATCTAAAACCTATCAGGAGGTCAAAGAGAGATGAAAGTGTATATAAATGATATTAAAGTTAAAGATGCTGCCCAGCCAGTGTGGCTCAATGGACTGAGCATTGTCCTATGGACTGAGAGGACTCGGTTCAATTGCCGGGTGGTGGGGTACATGTCCAAGTTGTGGACTCGATTCCTAGTGGGAGCATACAGGAGGCAGCCCATCGATGTATCTCTCTCACACTGATGTTTCTGTCTCTCTCTCTCTCTCTAAAAAATAAATAAATAAAAAATAAAGTTAAAGATGCTTTTCAAGTCTTTTTCCATATATACTCTACACACAGACATTAGTGATACTTTCTTATTTAGGAAGGTTTTATTTTGTTTTTACCTGTAGGGCATAGCTTTGTAAAATACATTTAGTGGCTGGGGACCTGAAGTGTATTTGCTGATAATCAGAGGCAACAGTATCTGCAAAGGAACCATTGGAACTGCCAATAAGGCTAAATGTTCTTTAGGTACACCCTCTTCTACCAACTTCAGTCCTGTTACTGCATCTGCTGCTGAAAAACCAATCTGCAATATAAAAACAAAAAAATATTTTATTTTGTGATTTATGAAATATTTTCTTCCAAGCACATATAAGTTCTTCAATAACCTCAATCTCGTGATTAACCCATGCCAGTTCTAAGTATATTAGTATGTCTGGTACAACAATCAAGTTAGAGAAGGTATACTTCGCCCTATGTCTACTGACAATATTCAGTGAAAACAACTAAAATGTCAGCACTCTTAGAACTGTAGATGACCCTAATTACAACTAAATTTCCACTTCAAAGGTTCGATCTCATAATGAAATGAAGTGTCCAAATTCAAGCTTACTAATTTGCATATTTTAAGTTTAAAAGTTTTTAATTGATTCCAAATAAATCTTGTTAAAATGGCGCATCACTGCCACATATACAGATTTTTTATTTCTAATTGACAATAATAAAATGTTCATATCTTCTAACATTTCAAAAGTAATTCTGAGAAATAATTATATCTGAGAGGTTGAATAAAATGAGGGGGAAGAGAAAATATAGTTAAACAACAACAGAAAGTAAGGATGGTAAGAGTAGTGAGTAAAAGTTGAGGTGAATTAAGATATTTAGATAGTTTCAAAGTATCTCCCCATAAATTAGTTTTTAATTACAAAAGGAAAATAACTTTATAATGGGTTAACAAAGTAATCAAAATTAACAATAGTTAATGGAATCAACTATAAAAGGATATGATATAATACCTGATGTAATTTCCTGAAGACATCACAGTATTACTTCTGTGATATTTCTGACATATTTGTATAACTAAATCTAAAATAAACATCAGACAAACATAAATGAAAGGCCTATATTCTTTAAAAGTGTCCAGGTCACAAAGGCCAAAAAAGGCTCATGCTAACTAAATATAATATGTGATCCTGGATTGGATTCCTAACAAGAAAAAAACTAAGGATACAAAGGCTATTACTGGGTGAAATTTGAATATTGACTATGATTAGGTAATAATATTGTATCAATTTAAAATGCCCTGCCCTGGCTGGGTAGTTCAGTTGGTTGGAGTGTCATCCTATACATATACACCAAAAAGTTGTGGGTTCAATTTCCAGTCAGGGCACATGCCTAGGTTGTGGGTTCAATCCAGGTCAGGGCACCAATGGGAGGCAACCGATTGATGTTTCTTTCTCACATTGATGTTTCTCTCTCTTCCTTCCTCTTGCTCTAAAAATCAATGAAAACATATCCTCAGGTGAGGATAAAAAAAAAATCCTGATTTTTAAAAATTTTTATTATTATTAAGTTGTGGCTTTATAAGAGAAAGTTATTCTTAGAAATATGTAATAGAGTGCAAATTTACAGAATAAGAAAAGTGAAACTAAATGTTAACAATTAGAGAAGTTGGATCAAGATATATGGGAATTCTTTAAATGATACAGTAAATTTTTAATAAGTATGAAACTCCACCAAATAAAATAAAAACAGGAATGATAAATTCTATATACTTTAATTTCCTGGAATGGAGCCAGAAAGCAAATTTCACCATAAAAAAATTAAGGGTCAAAGATATTTCACTTAAGTCCAGAAAATAATTTCACCCATTCTTTTTGTAAAAATTAGATATACAAACTCACTTCAATATTTAATGTCTTAAAACTGGTATAATAGGAGATATTTGTAATACACAACTAACAGAAACCTCATATCTAGGATATATACAAAATAAAAATTCTACTAATTTAAAGAAAAAGGCAACTCTGAATGCTCAACTTCAAATAGTCCGAGTGGAGTGAGCGAGCTGAGTGGTTGTAGGTAGTGTAAGGCTTGCAGCTGGCAGAACAACTGTCTGAAGAGCAGATTGCAGAGTTCAAAGAAGCTTTTTCACTATTTGACAAGGATGGTGATGGAACTATAACAACAAAGGAATTGGGAACTGTAATAAGATCTCGTAGGCAGAATCCCACAGAAGTTGGGTTACAGGACACGATTAACGAAGTGGATGCTCATGGTAATGGCATGATCGACTTCCCAGAATTTCTGGCAATGATGGCAAGAAAAATGAAAGACACAGAGAGTGAAAAGGAAATTCGAGAAGCATTCCGTGTGTTTGATAAGGATGGCAATATTAGTGCACCAGAGCTTCGCCACATGATGACTACCTTGGAGAGAAGTTAACAGATGAAGAGGTTGATGAAATAATCAGGGAAGCAGGTATTGATGGGGATGGTGAAGTAAACTATGAAGAGTTTGTACAAATGATGACAACAAAGTGAAGACACTGTACAGAACGTGTTAAATTTTTTATACAACCCTGGCCAGTTTGGCTTAGCGGTTAGAGCGTCGGCCTACGGTCCAGAGAGACCCGGGTTCGGTTCCCGCTAAGGGTGCATACCTTGGTTGCAGTTTGTCCCCGGCCCTGGTTGGTCGTGCGGGTGGCAGCCACTTGATGAGTCTCTTTCACGTGGATGTTTCTCTCTCTTTTCCTCTCTCTCCCTCCCACTCCATCCAAACAAAAAATGGAAAAATGTCCTCAGGTGAGGATAAAAAAAAAATTTCTTGTACAAAAAACATATGTATGTATAGTAAATAGGACTTCATTCCTCCATGTTTTCTTCCCTTATCTTACTGTCATTGTCCTGAAAGCTTATTTTAGAAAATTAATCAAGTAACATGTTGCATTTGACTTACTCTGGATTTATCTAAGCCCTTCTGAACATCTAAACTTAGATGGAGTTAGTCAAATGAGAGAACATCTGGTTATGCCTTTTTAAAAATAGTTTTCTTTAGGAACTGTCAGCATGTTGAAGTGTGGAGTTTAACTCTGTGTGGACTACGGACAGTCAACAATATGTACTTAAAAGTTGCACTACTGCAAAACTGGTGTATTATCCAGGTACTCATACACAATTTTTTTGTACTGCTGGTCCTGTACCAGAAACACTTTCTTTTACTGTTACTTGCTTTGTAAACTTTGTTTAGCCACGTAAAGAAAATCTGCGTATGACACAATTTGTCTCAAATCTATTCCAATTTGTATATTTGTTTTCCAATGAAAAAAATCTTACCCCCCCAATAAAAGGAAAAATACTCAACTTCTTTAGTCATCAGGAAAATGCAAATTAGAACCATAATGAGATGCCACTACACAACCACCAAAAAGGCCAAAACTGAAAAGACAATAAATCTGTTCTCAAGGCTGTGAAGCAATTGGAACTCTCTAACACCACTGATGGTAGGGGAATTGAAACAATCACTTTGGAAAATTGTTTGGCAGTATATACTAATGTAATAATACTTATGACTAACAATTCTACACCTAGGTATTTACCCATCAGAAATGTGCATATATGTAAATATTCCTAAAAATACTTTTTATAACAGATCAAAAGTAGAAATAACCTAAATATTTGTTGATAGACTAAATTGTGGCATATTCATACAATGAATGTTATATGCAACGAGATGAGCAAACTACTACTATAAATGACAATATTGGTAAGTTATACAAATATAATGTTGAGTGAAAGAACGTAAGAAATATGCATAAGAATGCATACTGGATATTTCATTTATATAAAGCTCAAACGCAGGGAAAGCTAATTTCTGGTACTAAAAGTTAAGAGATGTTACTTTTGGTGAGGTTTACTTTAAAAGGGGACCATGGGATTCTAGATTCTGTAACTGAAGCACCTCCTTATACATTACTGGGGACAGTATAAATTATTATACTCTTTTAAAAAGTAAAGTAATGTAGCAATTATATTCACTAATCCACTAATTACCCATTTAAGAATCTACTGTTAGGAAATATTCAAAACATCAAAGAAAGATATGCAAAAAATATTCATTAGTGCATTTTATGATTAAAAACCTAAACAAACTAAATGTGCAACAGAAAGATTAAATAAATTATGACAAATTTATATACTATGACAAGTACATAGTTATTAAAAAGTTTTCAAATATTACTTAATGATACAGGAATATGGAATCATAATACAAAAATATATACAGAATGATCCTATTACACTTTTAAAGTATTTATGTTTATATAAACATACATAGTATTAATATCAATTTGATTGTAAAATTAACTTATATATGTAAAGTATATGTATATACACACATATATAGGGGGAAATGGCAGCTAAAAATATATACTAAAAATGTTAACAAAGGTGATCTCTAAATTATGTAATTAGTTAATATAACATTCCTTGAACCTTTCAGCATTTCCTAGAGTTGAACCTTAAGTTCCTTAATTTTAAACCTTCCTAATGTTTCCTTAAAATTTAACACACTTTATCATTAGGGAGGAGGAAACACTCTTTCAAAACATTGAGGCAACAATTTTTACTTCAGGGTTGTCAAAGATAGCTGTAAAGTGTTTATGTAGATAAGTTCAAATATTAATATGAAACGCCTATAACTGATTTTAGATTTTAGATATTAACTCCAACAGTAGCAATAGTTCATTATATCAAAGTATACTCACTTTTCTTCTAGCATAATGTCTTTAAAATGGCTTTAGGACATCTTAATACATAAAGAAAAAAATAAAAATGACCAAAATCCCCATTTCTTTTATGGTATATTTCCTTCTAACATTAAAAAAAAAAAAAAAAAAATCAAATGATTTTTAAATAAACTTCTAATACTCATACATTTTTATATCTTTGTAAATTATATCCTAAGTAAATAATTTTATTATCTGACATAAAATGTGTACTCATTATAATAGTAGAGAGCTACTATTTTTTTCGAGGCATTCACTTGTATACCAAATGATAGCATTCATTAAAAAAATTTTCACTTTTTGCCCTGGCCAGTTTGGCTCAGCGGTTAGAGCGTCTGCCTGCGGTCCGGAGAGACCCGGGTTCGGTTCCCGCTAAGGGCATGTACCTCGGTTGCAGTTTGTCCCCGGCCCTGGTTGGTCGTGCGGGTGGCAGCCACTCGATGTGTCCCTTTCACATCGATGTTTCCCTCTCTGTCTCTTCCTCTCTCTCCCTCCCACTCTGTCTGTACAAAAAATGGAAAAATGTCCTCGGATGAGGATTAAAAAATAAAAAATAAAAAAAAATAAAAATAAAAAAATTTTCACTTTTATTAGACATACTTCAAATTGGTAAAATTCTTTTCAAGATCCCTAGACATTTATCTTGCTTTGAAATTATATTTTATATTACACACCTTTAAAAACACATTTAATAAACCTGAAAATTGTTTTTATTGTTAAGTTCTAATAGTAGTGGAAAGGATCCTATGATATGAAAAGGCAACAGAGGTATTTCATCATACTGGTAATTATAAGAGAATGGTAAATTAGCTTTATAAATGTCTTACCTTTGCAGTAAGAATCAGAAGGCAAAATGTCAGAACTGCTGGCATTTTTATAATCGCAAAAAGCAGCTTGTAAGTATCTGTGATCCCTTGGGTATCTTCTTTTCCTACTGACACCTCCTTGTTTTCTTTTTTCAGAATGGCAACTAAAGTTGTTGTTATCAGAAACACAGTTCCCCAGAAAAAAAGGAAATCTGAAATTTAAAATGTTAAAATATATATGTAACTTTTGAAATGACATAACTTCATTGATAGTATGTAATTCTGTATACAATTTTTCCTCAATAAAATTTGTTTAAAAAACTTAACACAGCCCGGCCGTTGTGGCTCAATAGAGTGAGCATTGTCCCACAGACTGAGAGGTCCCGGTTTGATTCCGAGTCAGGTTATATGCCCAGGTTGCAGGCTTGAGCCCCAGTAGGGGGTGTGCAAGAGGCAGCTGATGGATGTTTCTTTTTCATATCAATGTTTCTATCTCTCTCTCTCTTTTCCTCTCTCTCTCACTAAAAAAAAAAATCAATAAAAATATATTTTAAAAAATGAATACAATGTGCCTGTCATGTTCAAGTATTAGGCATTGCAGATGACTCAAGTTGGTGACTCAGGAGACAAACAAAGAAGAGAATCAATGTACCGCTCAAGAAATTGTGATGTGAATATTTTCATGTTGTTTTGCTTTTGTTGCCGCTTATTATTATTAAATGTTCATATTTTTACTGTACATTTCATTTCCTTTTTGTTAAATTTTCATTTACATTTTATGGACTTTTTGTCTTTAAACTGTTTATTTATAAACAGTACACTAGACATGTACTGTATATAAGAAATGTTGAAACAAGTAGTAATTTGGGGGTCTGGAATGAGTTAATTCAATTTAAATTCTTTCTAATGGGAAAAAGTGTTTCAGTTTTCAAAGAGCCTTCCAGAATGAATTAAGTTCTAAAACCAAGGTCCCACTGTATTATGTTACCTTATACATGTATTGTATTTAAGGAATCAGGAAACCTAACCTGTAGGTATATCTTTACCTCTAACTAGCCACTAGGCTGCAGTTTCTTCTTCTATAAGAATGAAGCAACTGAAATATGTGGTTCTTTCAAGTCAAAACATTATGTTCTCATTTCTATATTCTTCTGGGTTACTTTAATCAGTTCTTGCAGCTTTAAAAGTTATCCCTTTTTGCTACTAAAGATCCCTGAAAACCAAATATGGCAGGACAGAAAAAGCCCACCTCTGATTTCAGTACTGTTCTGGATCCTTGAAGGTACCAAAACCAATCTCAGCATAATCATGGTTTTGGTTCTAAGGGATTCCATTCTCACCCTATCTTTCTTGTTCCATATTTACTATTTAGATTACTGCTTTCTAGATGGCAAAAACTGTTCTCTCTCAATATATTCCGTCTCCATGTATCTGTAACACTCAAAGTGCTAATCACAGAACATATTTTAGAATTTCACAAAAAAATTATGCCTACTTTAACTTTCCTGATTTTCTAGGCACCTGCCTCAGTGTTTGGCTCTTCTTTTTATTATCTAAGCAATTTTATTTCCTTCATGATTATCTCTGTGCTCTTTAAATTCCTCAAAACCACTGGTTTTTCTTATTTATACTAAGTTTCAGAAAGTAGAAGGCTATAAATGTGATATGTGCAGTCATAAAGAGACAAATGAAAATTCAGAAACTCTTCAACTCTTAACTTACTAAAATATTTGAACCAAAAACATCAGTCCATTACAGATATAAAAAGTTAAATTAAATAGTAAACTATTTTCTACAATTTCCTGGAGATCAAAGTTCAAATTCCACAGAATACACAGCTATTCAAAATAAGTCAGTATAAATAAAACTCCAATGGCACAATTTCGATCTTCCCATTAGGGAACAGCTGTGGCTAAGGGAGTATATAATCAAAATGGCTCCTGAATGCATTCTCTGGAATGATGTTTTATCAATCACTCTTACATCACACTTAAGAGAAAGTTATAATTGACCTTGTTAGTAATTTAGTTTCCATAGCCTCTTAAATCTTAATTTCTCTGAGACTTCTGTATGTTAAGTAATCCATCATCTCATTTGTCCGGATGACCTGAACAGTCCAGTACACAATGAAAAGCAAGACACATAAAATGCAACAAGGTGCTAATTTGATGTAGTAACAAATTATTTTTAGGCAGAGATTTATCCATAGAGCAGGGGTGGGATCCCAAAACACTCAGAGATAAATCCATCTATTGTAAAGCAATGAGCTCTCAAACATTTTTGGCCTCAAACCAACTCATGAAAAGTACAATTATCATTTTATTAGTAGTAGTGGCTCACCAGCAATTTGAGGAGGTAGAAAGGGGATCCCATACTGGGTAAAAGGGTGTACAGAGTATTTTGGGAAAATGTGAAGTTCAGTCGTGAATCCCTCCCTCCTTGCCACTCCCTAAATATTATAACTTTTTTTTTTATCCTCACCCGAGAACATTTTTTTTCCATTTTTTGTTCAGATAGAGTGGGAGGGAGAGAGAGAGGAAGAGAGAGAAACATCAAGGTGAAAGAGACACATCGAGTGGCTGCCACCCACATGACCAACCAGGGCCGGGGACAAACTGCAACCGAGGTACATGCCCTTAGCGGGAACTGAACACTGGTCTGGACCACAGGCCAATGCTCTAACTGCTGAGCCAAACCGGCCGGGGCTAAATATTATAACTCTTACACTTCCCTCACCACACACCTACATATAACATTTTACCCTGTTGGGAATTCCCAATTTAGTACTGGAAAGATGAAAGTTTAGCTGTTTAAATTCATCATCACTCCGGAACGAAGAATTCCACTATATTCTTGATTTTGGTTATTACTGATATTGGTATTTTTACTTCTGTTTTCTAGTTGTTAGGAAAGTTTTTTAAAAATCCTCAGAAAACCTCACAGGGACACGTATTTTACACATGCAGAAAAAGAGGTAATTTTGTAGAACTTACACCTAATTTCTTGCTAGATAAACTTCAAACTCTTTCTCATAGCATTTAAAGGAAATCTTACTAATTTGGTCACTACCTTTCTTTCAGCACTATTTCCCAAACCCAGTCCCACTATTACTGCTTCTGGCACTTTGAACATCACAGGCACTGTCCTATACTTTTCTAAATATGTTTTTATTGATTTTTTAGAGAGAGGAAGGGAGAAATAGAAACATCTATGTGAGAGAGAAACATCCATTGGCTGCCTCCTGCACGCCCCCTGCTGGGGATGGAGCCTGCAACCTAGGCATGTGCCCTGATGGGGAATTCAACCCGGACCTCTCAGTCCATGGAGTGACACTCAAACCACTAAGCCACACTGACCGTCTGTCCTACATTTTTTTTGGATTTTGCTTCTTTAGTGCGTTTTCACCTGGTGTTGTGCATTCTGGAATTCCACTTATCCACTCATGGAATCTTACAATTCAACAAGGTCAAGGATCTGCAACATGAAGCCTTACTCCCACAAGCAGTTAGTAAGCAACAACTGTGAGCTCCCCTAAAATGTGCATCTCTCCCATTTCTTCTGGGTTGAACTCTGCTTTATAGCCAGGCCCTTAGAATTCTGTCACTTCGCTGACTAGTTAATGTTTGAATAAATGAACCTTATTCCTTTCACAAGAGGGCTAAACGAAAACTTTTGGTATAGGGATAGTCTAGAAATGCACCAGAAAGCTTGGAGTTAGAATTCTCAATGCAAGAAAAGAGAAAAGGAAAATGTGAGCCATAGGTATCAGGTTGGACCGGTGTCTTCACACTAGCTATACTTTTACAAAATGTGCACCTGTGGATTAGGCAACATGTTAGGCAAAACGTCCCTAGACGGCGTTTTGCCATTCCACAACAATGTTATTGCATAGGTTGTCTCTTCCTGCTTACCGCGTACAGATCAATTTATGATCACCCAAATGTAGTCATTACCACTGAAGCTCATTTTAGTGGAACAAAAAACTTACCTCGGGTCATCTCCCATAAAATGATTTCCAGTAAATTAAGTAATGAGCTTTCCTTTCAATGTCACACACTATCAAAAGGATTCGTAAGTGTAAAATAAACCTAAAGGCATTATAGTTTAAATACCTGAAAGAGTAACGATTCCCCTGGGTTGAGGCTGAAACCGCAAATATTTGTTGCAAAAGTCGGCAGATTCAAGGGCCAAAAATAAAACATTGCCCAAAAAGTAGCCCGCTGTTTGGCCCACTGAATTGCAAGTAGAAGCATAACCCACGTTCTCCCGGGATAACATAGTTAATGCCCAACCATCCACGGCGATGTCCTGTGTGGCAGCCAGGAATTCAAACAAAAAGAATGTCACTGTGAGAGCAACCACATCGGGGCTTCTGCCATCAGTATTCCCGAGCAAACGGTCCACCTGAGTGGATAAATATATCATGAAGATTCCCAGTATATACTGTGTAGGGACAAGCCAAGATTTGCGACGACCGAAGTTCCTAAAGTAAACTGCATCAACCAATGGGGCCCAAAGCAATTTGAGACTGAAGGGCCAAAAAACCAAACTGAAGAAAGCTTGATCTGTATAGCTAATATTTTTGCTCTGCAAAATGAGTGGTATACTTCCCGCCAGGCCCAGTGGAATGCCCTGAAGCACGTAAAGAAAAAGCAACAGCAAAATGCTGCTTAATTCGGCCCGGCAGCTCCGTGGGGGTTTTGAGAAATCACCGATGCCGGTATCCCAAAGAAGGGCTTCTTTGTCCCCTTCTCCGCCCACCAAATCCAGATGACTGTCATCCCAGGTGCCGGGCGGCAGAAGGCCGCTCTTCATATCCAGAGAGTGGTTGAAAGTCCCTGGCCGTCGTTGCCGACTGTTGTCTTTGAGGGAGATGGTGGGAGACATATTAGAGACGATGCAGAGCTCCGTCCGAGGGGGTGCCGGGGCTGAGCGTTTTGGATCCGTCTAGTCTGAGATCCAAGGCTGCCGCTCTGGACAAGGGTCTTGGTGGCTCAGAGAGGGAGTCAGGGTGCGGGGTGACAAGGGTGCTTCTTACTGCGGCACGGAGTACTGAGGCCGAGAGCCAGTGCCCTGGCTGCAGACCCAGGCGATGGCCAGGTAGGTGCCCCTTGGAGCGGCGTCAAGGAGGCTGAAGAAGCCCCCCGGGCAGCCGCGCCGGGCTCGGAGCTGGAGGAGGGGGCCGTGGTGCTATGATGGAAACCGGCGCCTAACAGCGGCGAGACTGAACGGCCAGTCTACGGACCGACTTCCAGCTCGCGCCGCTACCGAAGCAGCAGCCAACGCTTCCTCCGCAGGACACCAGAGATACCGGATAACTTCCTGCCTCGCGCTTCAGGAAGTGGTCCTAGTCTCAAATAAGTCCTGTCCCCCGCCTTCAGAGCTAGCCAATCACGACACGCTCCCAGGGCCCAGTTGGGAAACAACGCCTGCTAGGAACCCACAACTCTGGCGGCCGGGACCCCATGGGAGGACTAAGGCGGGCGCACCACGCCGCTCGGGCGGGGCGCCAGGAGAGCTCCGGCTCTGTGAGCGCATGCGGCCGTCTGGAAAGCGTGGGCCTAGGCCATTGGGCCGGTGCTGCCACGTGACGGCGGGTGAACCTGTGCTGCGGCCAGCGCTCGTCCCTTGCAGACTCTGAAGCTGCAATGGCCTAGCGAGGGCCGGTCATTACATTGAGGAAGGGATGTGCCCAAACCGCAGGCTGGGAATCGTGCGATGCCATTGCTTTCGTGGGCCGGGCAGAAACCGAGAGAGAAGGATTGAAGTTTAAAATTTCTTATCCGCCGGCAAGGGTTCTCTGTGACCTCAAAAGGGTAGAAAAAGGCTTAGTTAAATGAAGTGATGCCTTACATAGCCCATTTATAGAATAAATGAAACTGCTCAAGAGGTGTTAGGTTTCCCTGTACAGTCCATTTTTCCAATATGGAGGAAGACAGGTAGGGGATCAGGGGTCTAGGTGACCCCACGCACTACCTTGGGTGGATTGGAATTATACAACTCGTTATATCCCACTATTTTTGAGCTACTGTAGGTCTTGTAAGAGCCCAATATTAAAATTTTGTTTCATGTTAACTCAATGTGTATTCACTATTGAATTGATAAAATAACATTAGAAAACCAATAGCATTATTTGTGATACAAATTATTTTATTTGAAATACGGTGTTGGAGCAGAGCTCTACCATACCCTGAACCACCAGAAAAATGAACAAGTGTGTCCAGAGCAAATTAAGCCTGAAACATCATCAGAGGCAAAAATGATAAAACAGAAGCTATCCTGCTTCAGGTACACTATAAGACAGAGTTCTTTAGAAATGATTATAATAGTGGAAAAACAAGGCAGAAGGAAAAGAAGACCAAGTATGAGATGGATTGACTCCATAAGAGTTGGCATGCGTCTATAGGAGCTAAGCAGGGCTATTGAAGACAGGATATTCTAGACATCACTCATTCATAGAGTCACCAGAAATCAGAGCTGACACAATGGCACATAATACATATAGAAAATACATTACCTTTAAAAAATGTTATGTATAACATAAATGTATACATATATAAAGTTTTAATTTAGATGTAATATTTATATGTATTATGTTGTTTTCCATTGGATAACTAATTAATTACTAAAAACAAAATCCCTACACTTAAACATACCAAACCTCACATCATTTAAGAGAAAAAATGTGTTGTTGCTGGCCTCTTTCACATACAAATGTTGAAATAACTGTTCTCCAGCTCAAAATCGAGAAAAAAAGATTGGTTTCCTAAAGATTAACATTAAAATTTAAATACAAAAGTCACACAATTTTTAAATGTAACCTAGAGTTTAGATCAAATTATACAAACATTCATCTGAAAGCTAATGTTATGCAATGTTTCAGAAAAGTTTTTGCAGCCCCTTAAGGAATGGTAGTTCTTTTTTTTAATTTTATTTTTTTTATCCTCACCTGAGGACATTTTTCCATTTTTTGTTCAGATAGAGTGGGAGGGAGAGAGAGGAAGAGAGAGAGAGAGAAACATCAACACAAAAGGGACATATCGAGTGACTGCCACCCGCACAACCAACCGGGGCCGGAGACAAACTGCAACTGAGGTATGTGCCCTTAGTAGGAACTGAACCCAGGTGTCTCTGGACCGCAGGTCGAAGCTCTCACCGCTGAGCCAAACCGGCCAGGACAAGAATGGTAGTTCTTTTTTTTAAATTAATTTTATTTATTTTTTATTATTATTATTTTTTTATCCTCACCCGAGGACATTTTTCCATTTTTTGATCAGATAGAGCAGGGGGATGAGAGAGGAAGAGTGAGAGAAACATCGATGTGAAGGGACACATCGAGTGGCTGCCACCCGCACGACCAACCAGGGCCGGGGACAAACCGCAACCAAGGTACGTGCCCTTAGCGGGAACCGAACCCGGGTCTCTCTGTACCGCAGGCCGACGCTCCAACCGCTGAGCCAAACCGGCCAGGGCTAAATTAATTTTATTTTTGTTACAGATGTTTCTCCTTTTCCCCCCACTGATTCCCCCTCTCCCTCCCTCCCCGCCCTGTCCCCAGCTTTGTTGTCCATGTCCATTGTTCATGCACACATGATATAAGTTCTGTGGTTTATCTCTCCCCCCACCCCCTCTTCTGGGGATTGTCAGTCTGTACCCCACTTCCACGTCTTGGGACTACCCCATTCATCAGACTGTCTGCTCATTATATTCCACAAATAAGTGAGATCATATGATACTTGTCTTTCTCTGCTTGGCTTGTTTCGCTTGGGATAATACTTTCCAGGGCCCTCCATGTTGTCTCAAAGGATAAGAGATCTTTCTTTCTTACAGCGGCATTGTGTACTCCATTGTATATATGTACCACAGTTTTTTTATCCAAGGAATGGTAGTTCTTAAGGGAAGTTCCATTTGTGGGCATCAGAGGTCTATGAACTTACTGAAATTTTTTTTTTTTCAAAGTACATATGCATTGTAAATTACATATAAATACTTGTTAAGTAATGAATGTATTAGAAAGTTTAATGCTAAGTTATGTAAGTGGAAATTATTTCTAGATGAATTTTACAACATAAGTCACAAATTCTCATTCACACTGTCTCCATCCATTTCGATTTAACATATATTGCAAAATAACTTTTTTGGTGCTTTTTATCTTACTCCTAATATCTTGGTATAGTCATGATTAAGTGTGGTTCCATTTTTATATCATTAGAGAGTTTCTTCCATTATTTTTTAAAAAGAGGATGTGTGGGTAAACTGAATCTTTGTCTAAAAAGTCTAATTGCTGACTTCCAGCTTCTATTACTGATATGAAAGAAATATTCATCTATTTTTGTTTTTGTTGTAATTTTTTCTTTCTGTCGGATGCTTATAAGGTTTCTTAATTTATAGATATGCCTTTAAAAATATTAATCCTTCCTGTGTATTTCCTTTATCTATTGCTGGTTTACATATTACTCCAAAACTTAGCACCTTAAAACAACAAACATTTTATCTCACAGTTGCTTTTGGTTATTAATTCAGAAATGGCTGGATGGTTCTGGCTCAGTATCTTTCATGAAGTCGCAGTGATGTCAGCTGGAGTTTCAAGTCATCTGAATGCCTGACTGGCCCTGGAGGGTCCCCTTCCAGGACAGCACACTCACATGGCTGTTGGCAGAAGGCCTCAGTTTCTTGCCACATGAGTCGCGCTGTAGAGCTGCTTTGGTGTCTTTCTGACATGACAGCTGGCTTCCCCCAGAGCAAGTGATCTAAGAGCAGTAAGTTAGTAAGTCTGGCCTACACTCAAGGGAAGGAGAATAAAGCTCCAGCTCTTCAAGGGAGGAGTATCAAAGAATTTCTCGACATGTTTGAAAACCATCACCCTGGGAATTGATGAATGATTTCAATCTGAAGATAAAAATCTTTCTACAGTTCAGGGAAGTTTTCTTCTATAATTTAACAAATTACATGTAATAATTTATCTGCATAAATTTAGGGTTTTTTTAATTGAAAATGTTCAGAAAGGAAATGGTGTAATTCCAGAGTGCCAACTAATATATATTATATATATAAAAAATATATATATAATATATATTATAAAACTTTTGAATGACCAAATCTGTTGTATTTGTCATCTAGTCCCTAAATCTTATAGGTTACTATTATAGTTAACCATTACTTAAATAAAATTTATAACTATAGTTACATTATTATAGTTAACATTACTAACCCAACACACCTATTCTATATTTCTGGACTCTGATAATGATATAGCTACTGATGTTTCCTAGAGCCTCAAAACAACTCTGGAGCCGTCACAGATAAAAAGAAACACGGACTAATGAAATAAGCCATAGTTCAATTATTTTCTTAGATATTCAGAAGCTATCACAAAAAGACCAAATAAATTAATATAGTAATTGGTACCTTTGGATTACCACAAACAAAATTTTGTGTCTTCTTAGTGTAAACTGTCAGGACTATTCTTATATATTCATATGGCCTTCATGTACTTACCACATCAATAATAATCCTGTAGTTTGGACAGGTCACTCTGCCTTTCTAAGTATTCAAAACAAACCTTTCGATAACCCGTTTTTATTTTAATTTTATTTTCATTTACTGATTTTGAGAGAGATCAATTTTTGTTCCATTTATTTATGCATTCATTGGTTACTTCTTGTATGTGCTGTGAAAGGGGACCAAACCAGCAACCATGGGTATTGAGATGATACTGTAACCAACCGAGCTACCCAGCCAGGGCAGTAACTCATTGTTTTTAGAAGTCCAGTTAACATACCAGGAAGAGACCAGGACACAGGAGTCTACACTGGCTAAACTAAAACATGTGATCATACTGACTACAACACAAATAACAAAACAGGTTAAGAAATTCAACAGACTAATATAAATTTGTTGACTAAAATCATTCAAAATAATACAATTGTCCTAGTTATTTACAGGCCAGCCAAGAGTCCATACAATAACCAGTACATCTTGTACCCAACAAAAAGAGATGAAGCAATTAGTCAATTTTTTATAGGCCACGTGGTTAACTAAGGTTGATCAAACTGATTCTTGATATTTATTCTCCTGGTTAGGTATAGGTTGACAGAAAGAAAATTAAATATAAAATAGTTTCCAAATGTCTCATGATATTTATGATTGTCCTCATTCTTTGTGCATTTCTTCGCCATCTGCCAGAGCTGTAAATGTTACTACGTGGCTACCCAGAGCTGACATTCAAGTGCTAATAGGGCATCAAAAAAAAGACCAAATCCCTCTTGGTGAAGTCCTCTTTTAGGAGCTGAATTTTGAGCAAAAGCAGCTTGGGGG